CGGTGGGGGGTGGTGGGGGTGTTGCAGGGCTCATGCCTGCCCCAGCCACTGCTGATCTCTTTGGACACACCTTCATCGACAAGAACCTTCTGGTCTCCAGCCCTGTGTCCAGTGTTCCTTGTCAGCAGTGAGTCCTGTGTCCAGCATTTGCACTAGCCCAGGGATACATAATGAGACCCTCAGAAAAAAAAGGGCTGCAGAGATAGCTGTGCTTAAGAGCACTAACTGCTCTTCAGAGGACCTGGGTTCAGTTCCCAGCACCCACATGGTGGCTGACAACCATTCATAATTCAAGTGCCAGGGGGTCTGTAAAGTCTGATGACCTGAATTCACTCTTGGGACCCACAAGGTGGAAGGAGAGAACTGACTTTTCCAAACAGCCCTCTGACTTCCACCTGAGTATGCATACGCAAATAAATGAAATGTAAGAAAAAATTAAAACAAAAAACTAAATAAAAAGATATTGCTTAACATTTAGCCACATCTTTCCCATTGGCCTGCTAGCCATCTCTTTTTGTGCTGTGACAGATTCCTTTCTTTTTTAAAAAAATTATTTTTATTTTATGTATATGAGTGTTTTGCTTGCATGTAAGTACACCTGTGCACATGATGCCACAGGAGGCCAGAGAGGGGTGGGTGTCAGATCCCCTGGAACTGGAGTTAGAGACAATTGTGAGCCACCATGTGGGTGCTGGGAACTGAACCTGGGTCCTCTGCAAGAGCAGCCAGAGCTCTCAACTGTTTGAGCCGTCTCTTCAGCGCCCTGATTTCCTTCTTGGCCAAACCTGATCAAGCTCTTGACCCTGCTAGTCCTATTAATGTGCTTCCTTGTAAAATCCTGTTTTAGAAGAACTCTAAGCCAGTTTATTAGGAACACCCCACCCATGATACCTCACGGCACTGGACAGTTTCAGTCCTCACCTTGACACACCCAGGTGCAGGGAACCTCAACTGAGGAATTGCCTCCATTGGACTGGCCTGTGGCCATGTCTGAGGAACATTTTCTGATAGGTAGAGAATGGGCAGGAGCGAGCGGCGCAGATGGAGGAGGCACGAACGGATGGATGAGGCACGGAGGCTCAGATGGAATCCTCAGTGGGACACAGATTTATTTCGCACGGGGCACCTTTCCCTCGGGAAGGGAAAGATGTCCACGAAGGGAAAGATGGAAGGGAAGGGAAGGGGGAAGGGGGAAGAGGGAAGGGAAGGGAAGGGAGAGATGTCCAGGAAAGAAGTCCATGGGTTGTGAACTGGGACTTTACATATGGGGACTTTAGGGTGTGGAATCAGGGAGGGGGAAGCAGGTAGGATTAGGGTGTGGAAGTGTCTTCTTTTCCTCTTAAGATAAGAGGAACTCTGCTTATCTTTGGAGGTCAGAGGAAAGGCAGGCTGCTTCTCAGCAGAGTTTGTAGGTCCCTGTTGGGGAGGGGGAGG